CTCTCTCTCTCTCTCTCTCTCTCTCTCTCTCTCTCTCTATGGCGGAATGGAGTTTGTCTACCTCGTCTAGCAAAGTCTCTCTCTAGAGGAGTGTCTCTCTCTCGTCAGACACTCGCAAAGCGATCCAGTGAGAACTCTGGTGCTACCGTGCTGGAGATTCGTCTCTGCTACCGTGTTCCACGATCATCTCGTCGGCCGGTGAGCGTGTCCCCAGTCCCCAACCACTGTCCCATGAACCGCTTACATCCGCGAAGGTGCCTCGGCCCTACCGCACGAGAACCGCCCCACAAGAATTGTCGCACCCAGTCGCTGCACCACTCTCCAAATGTGCAAAACGAGACTAAATACATTTCCACCTCTTTTGTCCTTTGTGCATGTGGAGAGTAGTGCCGCGAGGGCCCCAGTCACAGCGGAGTTTATAAGGCGCCGTCAAGCTGATTTTGCACGTGCGGATGTGGTTCAGGAGGCAGAACATGCCTGCAGGGCTTTGACCGTTTTTATGATGTCCAAATTTCACAGCCCCGATCAACGTCACGCTGGCTAGGAAACCGAACCGATTCGCTGGCAGTGGGACTTGGCCCCGGGGGAATACTGGCTTCGCTGTCACACTACATCACAGTACAGGCTGTGAGCCCGCACCCTCGCCGTATGTCAGGAGGGTACTTGACTCTGAGTCAACAGCGGAGATGGCAGCCCCCCTGCTTTGCACGTTATATCAGTGTGATCCGGCATCATCTGTGGACTATCTTTTGATTCTTTTCCATATTTTATCTGGACTACGGTGGTTCTGGGGAATACTGGCTTCGCTGTCACACTACATCACGATACAGGCTGCGAGCCCGCACCCTCACCGTAGGTCAGGAGGGTACTTGACTGTGAGTCAACCGTGGAGATGGCAGCCTCCCTGCTTTGCACGTTATATCAGTGTGATCCGGCATCATCTGTGGACTATCTTTTCCATATTTCTTTTCCATATTTTATCTGGACTACGGCAGTTCTGGGGAATACTGGCCTCGCTGTCACACTACATCACAGTACAGGCTGCGAGCCTGCACCCTCGCCGGATGTCAGGAGGGTACTTGACTCTTGAGTCAACCGCGGAGATGGTAAGGCCTTCGTGGCTATCTATGCCTACCTAAGGTAGGACCGACGGATGACCTGTCTTGGCTGGGACGTACCACCCGTCTCGGCTGGGGTTCGTGGACACTTGACAATGGGCCGAGCTACACTACTCTCCACATGCACAAAGGACAAAAAATGGGCCGAGCTTAGCGGCGACCTACACTACTCTCCACATGCACAAAGGACAAAAAAATGGCAATGTATCTTTCCATGTTCTAGCGGACTATTCAGTCTCGCTTTTCAGATTTGGAGAGTAGGGCCATGTAGTGGTTCCTGTCTTCCAGAGGCCCTTTGGGGCCGGCGCGACGGTGTCCGCCCCGGCGATAGTCTCCGACCGTGGGAAAAAAAAGAAGAAAAAAAAAAGGACGGACGTCGGTTGACCGTGGATACCTTGTATATTGAACTGCCGCAGTTGCCGGGTGATAAAACGGCACGCGTGCGCGTTGTAGCTTACTTACGAAACAAAAAAAAAAAAAACGTAATAGTGCGCGATGCAATGTGAGCTGGGGACAGGTACCCAGAAGGCAGATCGCCCATCGGTAGAGCGGGTTGGAACTCCCAAGACGAGACGAAAAACAGAAACTCTTTTCGCTATAGAGATCTGCAGGATTTTTATTTATTTTTTTCGGGAAAAAGGATCTTTTTTCGAAGCCGCGTCCCTAGCTGCCGAGCGGGGTTTCTGTTCATTTCGGTGATATCTATGCGTTGCCCGTTTTCTTTCCCACGTACAAGTTTGGGTCGTCGCCATTTATAGGCGGGAGGCGGGAGGGAAGAAAATTGGGAGATTGCACGGGAGAACGAATTTGTGTCGCCATTTATAGGCGGGAGGCAGAAGAATTGGGAGAATTGCACGGGAGGACGAATTTGTGTCGCCATTTGTAGGCGGGAGGGATCAAAATTGGGAGATTATACGGGTGAAGACACGTACGTAGTGTGTGTGTTTGAGAGAGAGGGACAACGAATTTGTGATGCCATTTATAGGCGGGAGGGAGGAGAATTGGGAGATAACACGTACGTTGTGTGCGTGTGTGTGTGTGTGTGTGTGAGAGAGAGAGAGAGAGAGAGCGAGAGAGAGAGAGAGAACTCTGGCGAGGAGACGGTGAGGAACCAACATCGATTATGTCGAAAGACGAGAGACGAGATTTGTGACTATAGCAAGTTCTTGTCGACCGAGCGGCTACATGTCGTAATCATCGTGCAAGTGGTAGACAGAGGCATTCTCGTCGTCACACGTACGTGACCATCACGCTTCGCACATCGGAAGTCGCACATCGACTGTCGCTCATTGACTGTCGCGCTAGACGTCGAGAAGCGGACAGGTCACAGGCGTCGGTGAGTCCGAGGTGTGGACTACGTTTCCAGACTGCGAGAGCCTCCTCCCTCCCCTCTCCCTCGAGTTAGGGGGATACGAGCGGTGTGCGCGACTCGCAGCGCAGCGCCGACGAGAGCAGAGGAGGGCAGAAGGGAGAGGCGTAGTCACGATAGGAAAATTGAAGTGAAAGCGGTGAGGGGGGGAAGAAAGAGAGTTAACTTCGAGGTGTGGAGGGGTTTGGAGGCTTTGAGAAGTAGAGGAGGATAGCCATGATGTGGTCGCAGGCGAAGCGGTCGATGAATCTTGCAGTGGTCGCAGGCTGTTCTTGCTGCTTTTTAGCGTGTCTACCGGTCGTTCTTCCGTTGTTTGCGATTCTGGCGTTCCTGGTCGGATCGCTGACTCCGCCTCTGCTGGCTGGCGCGTTCACACTTCTTTGCCTATACGAAGTTCTCGTGGAGAGAAAGGCGGTGAAGAAGGTGAATAGGGCCGTAAATGCGGATCAATACATCAAGAGCGAGGATGAACCCGTTATAGCACGCGTTTTGGACATGCCCGTGTCCAAAGGACGAGTGGCGCAGGCTGTTCGTCGTCTGAACGCGGCAAGTAGAGCAGTCGCAGCTATGTCTGGAAAGGTATGCATCTATCTTCTTCGACTGCTCTTCTCGATTTGAGAGCATACTTGCTCAAGTTATCGTTTTCTCTTCTGAATGTTGTGATTTATCACGACTAGGTTCATTGGGAAGTATTAGACTGAGATTGCGCACATCCTGCAACCACCTCTCTTATCACTCGATGTGAAACGTTGTATAATTCGACAGACACACACCCGTTTTCTCATTTCGAATTGAAGTCTGCGTGGCATTGTTTTCTTTCTATTTTATTTTTTCTTTGTGAAGTTGTGATGGTGTGTATCTGTGTGACATTGTTTTTCTTTTTTATTCTATTTCCTTGTGAAGTTGTGATGGTTTATCATCCCCCATGCATGTCGTCGATGGGATTCCTCACGGAACTTTCCTTTTCTGTCGCTTCGGTTATTTGGTCGTTTTCTGTCCATAATTCGATAAGATTAGGGGGAAGAGTAGTGACAAGCGATGGCCAAGCTTCTCTTGGGCATGTCTTCAATCAATAAACAAGTCGGACATACAGGTTCTTCTACGTAGGAACAAAAAAAAAAAAAAAAAAAAAAAAAAAA